TTCAGATGTCGTGATTAAAGGATCTGTGACTCAGCATGGGCTCGGCGCCAGGGAAATCCCGAGGCAAAGCCTGTGGAGCAGGGGGGTTTCGGTAGAACAGCACTGCTTGACTGAGTTGACTCACTGTTCCCAGAAGGGTTCAAAAAGAGGTCAGACGTGTTACGTGCGGAGAAAACAAGCTCAACCTATAATTGAGTGGCTTTAATCTCTACTATCCTGTTCTAGCCTGTTTTATTTTCAAAACCAACCAACCAACCAACCAACCAACCAGCTGGCTTCTCAGCATCAGCTTTTTCCCCCCTCCTTTGTTGATACCCCTTTCTAGCTGTTACCGTTTGTGTCGACGTTAGCAGGCTTTGACTGGGATTCTGGCCTGTTTTATTACTGCACCTCCTTGCAAAAGGAGGATCTTCACCCTAAAAGCTTGCAGTTGGTAAGAGCAGGTCATACAGTGGCTAAGAGAAAGGAAGGAATCTCTCTTTTGACTGAGGAAGAGCTGAACCACGGCGAAATTAAGTGATTCATCTAAGCTTACTCGGAAACCGAAGCTGCCCAGCCCTTACCTCGTGCTCTGCACGAACGATGCTCTTGCTGTACCTGCCTGCCTTCCTTTTGCTGGAAATCGGATGGCAATGGCGTAAACGTCGCTCAGGGAGCCTTCAGCCATTAATTCATGAGTTAATCAATGTTAACTAAAGATGTTTTAAGTACCCCCACTCTGCATGGTTTCCTCTGCTGGCAGTCCCGCCGGTCATAGTTCTGCTGACTTCCCAGTCTTGTACTAATAAAATCTATTTTCTCTCTGAAGGGTTTAAGAGAGAGTATTTTGACTTTGTTTGGGAAACAGAATCACAGAATGGTCAGGGTTGGAAGGGACCTCTGTGGGTCATCTAGTCCAACCCCCCTGCTGAAGCAGGGTCACCTACAGCAGGCTGCACAGGACCTTGTCCAGGTGGGTCTTGAATATCTCCAGAGAAGGAGACTCCACAACCTCCCTGGGCAGCCTGTTCCAGTGCTCCGTCACCCTCAGAGAGAAGAAGTTCCTCCTCATGTTCAGACGGAACTTCCTGTGCCTCAGTTTGTGCCCATTACCCCTTGTCCTGTCACTGGGCACCACTGAAAAGAGCTTGGCCCCATCCTCCTGACACCCACCCTTCAGATATTTATAAGCATTTATTAGGTCCCCTCGCAGCCTTCTCGTCTTCAGGCTGAACAAGCCCAGCTCCCTCAGTATCTCCTCATAGGAGAGATGCTCCAGTCCCCTCCTCATCCTCGTAGCCTTCCTCTGGACTCTCTCCAGTGATCAATCTCTAATACCCATGTTCCTTGATTGTATCATCAGGAGGGTGAATAAAGGATGAGAGTAAGAAGGATCAGCAGCATTTCAAAGTGTTGGCACACAAGTGGAGACCTTGCTGTGATCTTCCTCAGATTTATGCACCACCTGCATCTGCTGGAAAGACGTTGGACAGACCTTGTCTCACTGCAGGGCTGGCAGTCTGACCCTTGCTCACACGCCCCAAATCTCCCTGAGATGCCCTGGGGTGTCTTTTATGGACCAGCTCTCAGGGGGAGTAGCTGTCCTGCAGGTCCTGCACTGTCCAGCCAGCTGTACACTCCAGTGGTGCTGGGCAGCTTTGGCATCTGAGGGAGCACTACAGGCCTGGAGTTGGCCATGAAGTTGGGCAGCTGCCCTGGAATAGGTTAGGCAGTGTAGGGATGTCCATGGGAAACCTTCGGTTCCACTTAGCGGAGATGCAGGAAATACAGCTGATGGAGAAGAGATTGACAGACGGAGCTCCCCCCGTGGCACATGGCTCAATTTCA